TTTCGCGCCCCTGGTCAAAGTTAAATGTACGCTAAATCGAGTTTTATCTGGACAGAAGCAATTATGGTGTAACGAGAGTAGTGAATGGTAGCGTTATCAAATAACCGGCTCGCCGTGCATCTATTAAAACACCAGGAACCCGTTCGCTAGTTGGATATCCCGGACATGCAAAGTGTGGCTGCACCACTGGCTCGCTGACAGTGTGGGGACACGCGGGCGTGGAACTCACTCCCGGGGGGGGGCCCTTTTGTGGCTTTTGGTGACCCACACTGAAGTGTCGTATATCGCAGGGAGCAGAGCACTTGGCCACGGAGCTGTGGGTAAACACTCAGGCGCTGCCCGTTTCAGCAGGGAGTGATTAAGCGTGGGGAGGGGGTGGAGCACGTGGGATAGGAGCCGTCTTTTGTCACATGACGGACGTGACACTTGGCTGATCGCAACCAGGGCTTAATGTCTCACTGAATATGTTCGCGGGTGGACTGGAGTAGGTGCGTGAGTGTTAGCCACAGCTGGAGCGAGTGGCATGATAGGATGTGGTGTGCCGGGTGTAGAAGAGCATTTCAGAGTCGATGACTTGGACAGTCCCGGCTGAAATAAAGCCCTGAGTGAACCCACTTAAGGAAATGTGAAACAAGATAAACTAGCTCCAGTTGAAGGTAGTCTTTTTCTAGTTTTATGCGATTTGATGACTGCATTTAAATGGGACCCATTATGTGAAAAGGGTGCGTATCTGTCGTGCGTGTGCATGTCAGCGCTTGATTGTTTTGTGTGAGTGTGTGAGTTGTGAATGTGGGCGCGCACTGGGCGTGGGTTTGTGTGTGTGGTGTGTGTGGTGTGCACACAAGCTGATGTCATCACACATAAAACAAAACATTACTTTAATTAGTGTTTATTGTTCATTTTGAAAAGTGAATAATTTATGCGTTTTCGAGGAGAATACGAGCATTTGTTTGTGCCAAATTACCTGTTGGAATTTGATTCAACATGCTCACTCCACTCATCGCCTGCAAAATAAAATCACGGTTCATTTATCTGAGTTTTTCACTGAGACAATTATTTTCCTCTCTCTTCTCTTTTGTATCATACAAACCAGTAACTCCTCGTCAGGAATAAAACATAAAAAAACATCCAGTCACATTTAATGTGGATCAGCCAGACTGCTCTAAGTGTTTTGCTTACGTTTGTGGTGTGTGTTTGTGTGTGTTGGTGTGTGTGCGGTGTTGGTGTGTGTGTGGTGTTCGTGTGTGTGTGTGTGTGGGGTTGGTGTGTGTGCGTGTGTGTATGTGGTGTTGGTGTGTGTGTGGTGTTGGTGTGTGTGTGGTGCTGGTGTGTGTGCGTGTGTTGGTGTGTGTGTGCTGTTGGTGTGTGTGTGTGTTGGTGTGTGTGTGGTGTTGGTGTGGTTCTGGGGTGTGTGCGTGTGTTTGTGTGTGTGTGGTGCTGGGGTGTGTGCGTGTGTTGGTTTGTGTGCGTGTGTTGGTGTGTGTGTGGTGTCGGTGTGTGTGTGGTGTTCGTGTGTGTGTGGTGTGTGTGTGGTGTTCGTGTGTGTGCGTGTGTTCGTGTGTGTGTGGTGTTGGGTGTGTGCGTGTGTTGGTGTGTGTGCGTGTGTTGGTGTGTGTGTGGTGTCGGTGTGTGTGTGTGGTGCTGGTGTGTGTGCGTATGCTTGTGTGTATGTGGTGTTGGTGTGTGTGTGGTGCTGGTGTGTGTGCGTGTGTTGGTGTGTGCTGTTGGTGTGTGTGTGTATTGGTGTGTGTGTGGTGTTGGTGTGTGTGTGGTGCTGGGGTGTGTGCGTGTGTTTGTGGTGCTGGGGTGTGTGCGTGTGTTGGTGTGTGCGTTTGTTGGTGTGTGTGTGGTGTTGGTGTGTGTCCGTGTGCTGTTGGTGTATGTGCTGTTGGGGGGAACAGTTGTGCAGCGGTTAGTGCACTACGATACGAATCCGACGACCCGAGTTCGATTCCCGCTCACGGCCAACACCAATAACGATCATCTAAACCGGTCCTGGGCCTCCCCGAGGTCAACTCAGCCTCAAATGAGTACCTGGTAGCGGTTTTGTAAACATCGCCACTGGGGGAGACAAAGGAGGCCAGGCGCAGTGCCGGCCACCCACCCCCTCGTGTGCCGTGCCGGCCTTCATAGGTGCTACTCGCTATACTGGGCAGCTTTATCTTTGTGCTGCTCGTGTGTGTGTATGTACGCGTGTGTTTTGTTATGTCAACCGCCTATTTATTCCGGCCCAACCGCACTGCTGTCAGTCGGGCTTCAGTGGCTCGGCGTGTGTAATTACAGCTGTCAGATGCCTGCAGGTTGAACACACACAAAAAAAAGCAAACAAGCTTGCTGCCACTCGGCAGTGTTTGCCAAAAAATATTCAATCCGAAAGACTAACTTTTTCATTAGGCAAACGTACCCTCCTGGCTGATCGTGGGGGCTTGGTGGAAGGCTCAGAGATGGGAGTGGACATGCTGTCCGAGTTTGCAGGGAACAGGCACAAGGTTTTGATGTGTGACCTTTCACCAGAAAATATCGCACTTGCAGACACGAACTGCCGCAAAATGTAATTATAGGCAGAATATTTTTTATTTATTAATCAAATATTAAGAACGTCGCCAGTAACTTGATATATGCTGAAACAGGTTTAAGCTTTCCATTAAATATTCATATAGAAAGGGCTTAATGTTTCACTAAATGTATTCTGGGTAGCTGGTAGACTGGAGTAAACATATGATTCATAGTCACAGCCATAGCAAGAGGTATCCCGGATGTGGTGTGCAGGGTGCAGAAATTAATATAATGTATTTGTGGATCACCAACCAGACAGATCTGTCATCTGTTGTCCATATATATGGAGAACGGTGGCGCAGTGGTTAAGCATGCTGCGCCACAAAGCCAGCGACCAGAGTTCGATTCTCGCTCGTGGCCAATATCGGTGCTGATTATCTGAACCAGTTTTTGGGCCTCCCCTGGGATCAACTAGGCCTCAGGTCAACTAAACTTGGTGTGATATGTAAACATCGCCAATTAGGATACAAGGGTGGCCGGGTGTGGTGCTGGCCACCCACTCATATTCCGTGTTGGCCTTCAGAGGTGCTTTCTAGAAGGACTTTCTCAAAGAGTCTGTGAAAAGCTATACAGGGGATCTTTGTCTTTATAGAAAAATAGCCAAACGTACATACGAATGCAAATCCAACACACAGGGATATGTATACGCTGTTGTGTGTAAAATAAATAATCAGCATATAGAAGAGACAAAAGTTACGTTGTATTGTATGTGTGTTGGACTTCTTTCGCACCATACGTAGCCAACCATACTAATCAGAGATTAGCACGTAAAATAGAAAATATTTTTGAAGGTGATCTTCTGGACCAAGGGCGGATGGTCCACAATAAATAGAAGAAGAAAAAACTCTGCCTGCCCACAAATTCCGTCGTGAATTTTTTCTTTCTTTCTGTCCAATAATTTGTTACCGCCACGATCTCCCGCGGCGGCCCACGATGACCATCCCGGCGTGTGCACGGATACGTGCGTTCGTCCGTGCGGTTAGGTGCGGGCTACACGCGATAAGGCAGCAGAGGTTAGCGCAACAAAAAATCCGTTGTGCTCTTTCTTTACGTGCGCTCGCTCACCGCAGCCTTAACCTCGCGGAACCGCCCCCCTCCTCCCGCCCCCCTTAAAACCGCGAACACACGGCCGAGTTTACACGCGGGACATCGCGAAGCCCAGCTCCCGCCACTTGCATCGCAATGAAGCGTTGCCTCTCGTAGCGCAAAAAAAAAAGTCTTGCCCTACCGTGCCCTGCCTGTTTCACGAGCGCAAGTGAGGGCCTTCACGAATTGCCCCGTGCTACATTGTGGGACGCACTCTGGGCGTATTTCTACGGCAGGACAATGTTCATGCGGAGCAGCGGCCGCTACCGCTGTGGGGTGTCATGGTTGTTCGGACACCACCCCCCCACTCTCCCCCCCCCGCCCGCCAACAAAATGTTTTAATACGGCTAAGAGCCACCACCCACAACATTTTGGACACAACAAAAAAAAGCGTTGGTTTTTTTTCTGGGAGAGGGGGCTGCATTTTTTTTTTGGGAGAGGGGGCTGCATTTTTTTTTTGGGAGGGGGGGCTGCATTTTTTTTGGGAGGGGGGGCTGCATTTTTCTCCCTGAAACAAGGCTACGAAAAATACCCAATTACGCGGATATAAACGAACCCTTAAACTCACAGGAGCGCACGAGCAAGCAGGCCCAGTACCGAATCATTATTCAGTAGCCGTGTAGATTTATTATCATTATAGTTACAGGATAACTTCGATCTGTAGCCTATCTGTAGTCCAACCAATTACCATCGGGGACCAGCAGGGCACGCCTAACCTCAAAACATGGATGCTGCCCTATGAGATTCCGTTGCACTGTCCCATGTTGTTTAGTTAAACAGTCAACAGGTTGAAGTCCTTTGGGGCAAATGCCCATTTGTGGAAATCATTAAACCCTCAGTGCTCGGTACATGACAGGGCGGTTTTGAGTTGGCACGGAACCTATGCCACGGCTTGACATTGAAGCCTCCATGAGCTAAGTGCTCTGGGAGCCTAGCATTGTTGTGATTCACTCGACGCATAATTTTGGTCAAAATGTTACGGTCTCATTTGAATTTCGATTTAAAGCTTTCGTGACTGCAGGGATTCATCTTCTTGGTTCTTTCGGTAAAGTCATGTAGAAGGGAAATAATAAAATAATAGAAATAAAACATGATAGAATAATTTTCACGACGTTTCGGCCACAACGCAAGCAGCCGTCCTCAGGTGAAGACCAAGACCAGGTCTGTCGGGGAGACAGCTGTTTTATCTTTATTATTTTATTATTTCCCTTCTACGTGACTTTACCGAAAGAACCAAGAAGAGGTCTCATTTGGCATTGTTTGTAACGTCTATTCCACGTTCACAGTACAGTTGTGTTTTCTCCGTTCACTGCTATGGAAAGAACTCCCCAATTCGTCTTGATTCTTCATGGTGTCACGATTCCAAAATCCATGCCGCTCGGCACAATCAGCTGATATCGCTCCATCTCCATGGTGATCTCTTCACGGGCATAGTCCTTCCTTTGGCTGACATTCTCTTGCCAGTCTCGACGACCGGCTATCATCTCCTCCGAGCGATGTGTTCTGCACCAGCCCCACTTAATTTTTCTCAGCGTTAAATATCGTGCGTCTAATTTGTGTTTGTTCGGTCATCCGGTGTAATTCCAAGGATGCTCTCCTTCTTTTCACGTTTTTCAATGCACTTTTCAGGTTTAATTCAGTTTTCGTTGCCAGAGTTAATTCATGCTATGCACGTTGCGAAATAAGTTCGACATACAATCACACATACGTATGTCCAAGCAGTTAATATTCCCATTTGAAAACGTTCTCATGTTGCGCATAGTTTTCCTACAAAATGAATAATTACTTCTCACGGTCACAATTTAACGCACGTATCGCGAGTGTAAAGAATAGAATAACATCTGTGACTCGTTGCATTGTTACATGCTCTGGACTCCATGCCCTGCAATGGAGCCCCTCCAAATGTGAATGCTTGGCTAAATGCTCGTCTGTTCGCTGGGCTCCAATCTTTAAATTATACCCCTTCTCTGAATTACACCCCCTTGTTTTAATACGCGTGACATGTGCCATTCCCCTGAAGCAAGTACTGTGCTGAACTAAGAGGTACCGCATACCGTACTGCGTAAATATGCGTTAGACAAAAAAAAAAGAAATAATGTTCTCAGACACATTTCTTTTTCCTCCATTCAATAACCAGACATTATTGTTAAGTGCAGAGGAGGTGCACGTCTAAACTTGCGGGGGTGGTGGGGGAGGTGGGTGTATAGATAAACGGTGCCCGTTTGAAGATGTCAACCCTTGATATGGTACATTTTCCCTCGTCTTATTTATTTTATTTCCTTACAAACGTTATGATGCCGAATGACAACCGTGCCGTTGGCATCGCGCCGAGAGCGGTGTACGAATTGCCATTTGGAGCTGGCACAGCTAGCAGTGCACCACCTTGTGTCAAAGAAAAAAAAAGTCCCGCAAAATTATTTTTGACAGACGCTACTTCTTTGAGGCCTCTGTTTCCACACCAGGTATGCCCATGTCATGCGCACTGCAAATACAAGGACTCTTCTACTTACGAACAAGTTCAGTTCCAGAGGTCTGTTCATACGTCGATTTGTTCGTAATTACATCTTTACTCCTGTAGAGTCTAAACATGTTGCACGGCATGTAGACTAAACACGGGTAATGGATTTAAAAGTTGTATAATCTCCTGTCCATGTAGATGCCACTGGTTCTTCATATTCTGCAGATGTAGATGCCACACTTCCGTGTCACGATGGGGTTGATCATGTTCATGAAAAGCACGGAGAATATCGTAGTGAACCACACAGCGACAACACTAACAACAGACAATGGCGGCGGCCCAGGCATAAATGCTGGGAATGCTGGGTAATGACACTGAACAACCACCGCCATTAGTCGTGCAGCGATTGAACTTTTGAAAACGGACCGTACAATTATTGCGGACCTTACACTGTAGATTATATTGTAGTTTTTGCCGCGCAGTATTCGCAGCTCGCTTTCGAAGAGAGAGGGACGACGACTCAGAGGCGAGATGAGGAACCCAGGACAATCGGGAAGGCAGCAGCCACGCTAGTGAGTCAGCGCCAGCAATTCCTCAAGATCTGCAATCCTCTTTATATCAAGGTGTTATGATTCATAGTCACATACATGTGGGAGGAAGCCGAAGCACACGGAGAAAATCCACGTGTGTAGGGTGGCAATACCATTATGGAGTTCCACATTTTCTCACATTTGATCCTTATGGCGGTACCCCGGGGGGTACCAGAATTATACAAAATGGCCGAGGCAATTAAATATTATATTTCTGGGACACTATTTTTTCCAGGTGTGTACCTAACTCCGCAACTGGGGTACCAATCAATCCGAGATCAGCGCTACTCCGCGATGTTGAAACGCAGCGAGGACGATTGCGCTGAGACCCTGAGTGCTCGTACGCACCGTAGCGGTGCATCGTGTACAGCTCATCGAGATGAGTCGATTGCCGCATCGCCGTCCATCAAAAGATGAAAAATGACTGCATCACGGACATTGTGCGAGAGCCGGGGTACTAAGGTTAATTTGTGTGATCCACCAATCCTCGCTCTACCTACGCAGCACTGGATTACAGGCGTGCGCCACCGCAGCTGCCAAGGCTTCATTCTCAGGGAACATTTTCCAAAGCTCAGGCCTGGTCAGCTCCAGCTCAATTGAGCCCTGGTGGCAACGGGCGGTCCCAACCTTGTGACTCTGGAAATATCCGTTTTTATCGATGCTCTATTTATCAGACATGTTTTTTTTACACCAATGTAGGGCACCTATTTTTAAAAAAGATTGAAGCGCTGGGACCACCCCACCGGGCCCCCCTTGGGAGGTTTCTGGATATATCCGCCTCGCCCTGGTTAGCGGGAACCAGACAGAGTGACCCCACCGCCGCCTCCCAACACAGCCGGTTATTCTCGAGTCGCGAGAGACGCTCCCACCGAGCACGGCGTCGTTATGCAGGAGGGCACCCGCCCCCTTAATTGGGACGCCCGTTGTGGCAGCGGTCTAACAAATACGACGTTGTGTGTGGCGTTTGTGCGAGTCTGCGTGTGTGTGTCTTTGTGCGAGTCTGTGTGTGTGTGTGCGTGCGGGGAGCGGTAGCGCGCTGCTGCTACAAAACCCGGCGAACCGAGTTCCCGCTCACGGCCAACACCAGTGACGATTATCTAAACTGATCCTGGGCCTCTCCTAGGTCGACTCAACCCTGAATGAGTACCTGGTGTGGTGGGGGAGGCAAAGTCGGTCGGGTGTGGTGTGCCCACGTTAATAGGTGCTCACTAACAGCACTTGCCCCAACTGTCTGTTATAGGCTATATGGGGGACCTTTGTCTTTTTCTACGCGTGGGTTTATTAGTGTGCCCTACCCCTGCGCCTACATTGTGCCACGTCTGGGTGACACAATGAGCTGTGGGACCCTGGATTCTCCGTTCTCGCGTAGCGAGCGGTGATTAACGGAGTCTCCGCGCGTGCAGCATGGGTCGCCCTCCCGGACAGCAGCAATTAATAGTGATGCGAACAACGCGTTGGCTGTTTCATCATCATCCTCATCATCAGCCATTAAAATTATTCTGTTGGTTGAAAGCCTCCCCAAGCCGTTGCCATCTCTCACGGTCCTTGCGATGTAACAAGAAAGCTTGAGCACCGGCTCACGCGCTGATTTCGTTACTCCATCTCCCGCGGTGGACGGACTGCCGGATTAAGCTAGTGCGGGGCCTGTAGCATATGTTATAAAGGGCCCTAAATAATAATAAATAAACACACATTATTTACTTGCATAGTAATGCAATTGTATTTTTTAATTTGCTATACAGCCAGATAACACGACAAATCGCTCACCTTAAACACCCAGTCGTTCGTAAAAGTTGAAGGCGGTATAGTACTATGGTAATAGAGCAAGTGCAGAATCACTGAACCGGAATTGATAGCTTGAAAGCATTTAGCGCGGGGCCCTTGAAAGTGCGGGGCCCGTAGCTACATATGTAGCTACTTATGTAGCTACTACATATGTAGCTACTTGTGTAGCTACTACATATGTAGCTACTTGTGTAGCTACTACATATGTAGCTACTTTTGCTATTTGGATAATCCGACACTGGGTGAACGTCCACTCTTTCACGCATTCCTTGCCGTGCCTGGGTGGATCACTTTCTTAAGAGCCCGTGTGAACGTGACCACGCGTATGTACGTGGAACTTCTATCGCACCGTACATCGCCAACCGTGATAATCGGAGGTGCAGATAGCACGTGCTAATCACATACTACGAAAGTCAACGAGATTCCCACCGGAGGCAGTACAGCAAGTGTGGCTCTTGACATACCTATGCAAACTGTGAGCTGTTATCTTCACATGCCGTGTGTGTGTGTTTTCTCCAGGCCACTCCTGTTTCCTCTCTCTAGCGTGCGAAAAAAAGACGCTCTGGCATTCAAACTGGAGCCTTCAAGGGAAAACAAAAAAGATCTTTAGCGGCTCGGTCCACGGCTCGCCCTCTCTCTCTCGTGGGTAAAGATACTGAAATAATCCTCGCGCGCGAAACCGTATCGCCGAAATCTCGACGAACACTCGAATGCCGAGACGGTGACAATAGGGGAACGGTGGTTAGGGGGCGGTTGCACGATTGGTTACGTACGGTGCGAAAGAAGTTCAACGTACACCCATGGCCCTTCTCCTGCCGCCCCACCGCACCGTTGCCCCGTCCGAGATGCCGCGGCGGACCGAGGGACAACGCTGTGATGAGACGGCGGTGGGAGAGCGAGCGAGTCGGGGGGGGGGGCTCACTTGAACGGCCGAGTGCACGAACCAACTTCTTCCGACATCGCGATCCTCCTCCTCCTCCCCTCTATGGCAACAAGAAATCCTCAGCAGGTCTGGTGGACTGCCAGGGTCGGGCTGGTGGAGCTTTCTGCATTTGTTTTTGAGTTCTCAGTTTGGTGTCCTTCCCCCCCACCCCACACACCTCCGATTAGTTGTAGATTTGAAGCTTTCGTGACTGCAAGGATTCATACAGCTAAATTTACTGTATCAGTGACGGTCCCACTTGATGACGGAGACTTGTGCTGCCTCCGAAACGTCGTTATTTATTTATTATTTTATTTCTATTATTATTTCTATTCTTTTTATTATTATTTTTTTTTACCTACGTGACTTTACCGAACAAACCTAAGAGTATACCTCCAATTAGCTACACGCTGTGCGAAAGAAGTTCCATATATATACACCACACTATACACTACAATACACGCTACACTATACACTACTACACACCACTACTATACACTACACCACTATACTAAGTTGTAAACTCGTTTCTTTAGAACTGCTCTTGGCGTTTAGTTTGTTGGCCTTCACCTGCACACCTCTGATTAGCACGGGTGGCTACGTACGGTGCGAAAGAATGTCAACATACGTACATACGCAGACGTCTGTTGTACCCAAACTCCATTAGCCAGTCCTGGTCTTGATTCAGGACTCCCAGTTAAACATCAACGTTGGCCCAAGCTCGCTTAA